CAGCGTTGTCTCGTAGGGTTGGGTTGTCTCCGCCCTCAGCGCTGTCTCGTAGGGTTGGGTTGTCTCCGCCCTCAGCGCTGTCTCGTAGGGTTGGGTTGTCTCCGCCCTCAGCGCTGTCTCGTAGGGTTGGGTTGCCTCCGCCCTCAGCGCTGTCTCGCAGGTTTGGGTTGTCTCCGCCCTCAGCGCTGTCTCGCGGGGTTAAGTTGTTGTCTCTGCCCTCAGTGCTGTCTCGCAGGTTTGTGTTGTCTCCACCCTCAGTGCTGTCTCGCAGGTTTGGGTTGTCTCCGCCCTCAGCGCTGTCTCTAGGTTTGGGTTGTCTCCGCCCTCAGTGCTGTCTCGCAGGTTTGGGTTGTCTCCGCCCTCAGCGCTGTCTCGCAGGGTTGAGTTGTCTCCGCCCTCAGCGCTGTCTCGCAGGGTTGAGTTGTCTCCGCCCTCAGCGCTGTCTCGTAAGGTTGGGTTGTCTCCGCCCTCAGCGCTGTCTCGCAGGTTTGGGTCGTCTCCGCCCTCAGTGCTGTCTCGTAGGGTTGGGTTGTCTCCGCCCTCAGCGCTGTCTCGCAGGTTTGGGTTGTCTCCGCCCTCAGCGCTGTCTCGCAGGTTTGGGTTGTCTCCGCCCTCAGCGCTGTCTCGCAGGTTTGGGTTGTCTCCGCCCTCAGTGCTGTCTCGCAGGTTTGGGTTGTCTCCGCCCTCAGCGCTGTCTCGCAGGTTCAAAGTTTTTTCTGTCTTTTCGAGCGTTAATAACAAATACACTCATAAATAATACAACACAATTGGGTGAAATCAATACAATATTATAAGTCATGATCCATAGGAGAATTAAAATAGAAAAAAATTGGATGAAAATTTTTATTTTCAAGAAATACCTCAGTTTTGACATCAAACGGTATCACGTTTTGTTACAGTAGAATAATCTGATGTTGTATCACACATTTGAAATAAATACATACAGTTTTAGCTAACCCAGCTAATATCTCAATTTGGTTGCTGATTAGTTAAAATCAAGGACTTGTTTTATTTTTAAGTTCAGGTAAACAAAAAGTCCTGTGTCTTAAATGTTAGGTTTATTAAATTACCACACTATTGTATTGTGTATCAGTAAAATGCATCAATTTCTTTGCAAACATGGATKTTTAGAAAACAACATGAACTTTTTACTCTTTCTGTGATGCAGTTTTTCAACAGGAAATTAAAGTTTGTGTACCATGTCTTTAAACTCTTTAAATCTGTTTCAGGAGGACGCTCACATTCACATGATATACAAATCTGCTGGACCTGAGGGACTGRGGGATCTCTTTGGTGGTAAGATGTTGGCTGAACAGTTGAAAAACTCAATGGGGAAATTAACATTTTTTATTTTGATGTATTTACTGTTTAATGTAATAATTGTTTTTGTTTATTAGGTGATTTACCAGAACCTCCGTTTCCCAGCCCTCCTTTCCCTGGATCAAAAGTTGTTCACTGGAGAAAAAAGAGACACGTACGTGTTTTGGTCTGGGTTTAATAAAATGCTGATGAACTGATCCTTTGTTGATGCTAACTGCTCTGTTTTTCACATGTTAAAATAATTACTTTCTCCAAACACATCTGCTCTCAGCCCGTCTCCTTTTCTCTCATTCTGCTGTATTTTTTCTTCTTTTCTGAAATATTGATGTGAAGAGTGAGAGTCTGGGTCCAGCCTGGTCCTTTCAGACCCGTGCAGTCAGGATCTGCAGCTGCGCCTGTCTCTGAGCTGCTCTCACACTTTTACAGTCTAGTTTTGCTTTTTGAAAACCCAAACAGATTTTTACGCTCTGTGTGATGCAGGAAGTGGACCTTGGTTTTGWGTGATATTCTCAGCTTGTCGTTGATGTGCAACGTGTTGTCTGTAGAAAAGTGTTTGTTCATCTGTTAGAAATAAGTCCTCTGCTGTCTCCTCTCAGGCTACCAGACTGTCCCCAAGTGTAGAAGATGAGACCAAATACATTGAGCTGATGGTGATCAATGACCACATCATGGTGAGTTTTACCAGCTGCACAAACACAACAACTCATCTGATGCTTAGTGTCTGCTAAATTTACACAAATAAAAATATATTAAATAAAGTTCATCCTGAAGCCAGAAGCAGGTGTTTGTGTTATAAGTGTCTCTACCTGTTTAACTTTTCACCCACAAATCTTTAAATGAAACAGACATGAAGTAAATTAATGTTACCTTTTTACTCATTAAATGATCACTGAACTTCAGGATGTCCAGTTATACACTCATGTATTATGGGTGTTTAATAATTATTATATTGTACCAATATATAATTATTATACTATATTTTTATCATTATTATAGTATAATAATTATTACTATATTATTATTACTATAATTATTGTATTGTTATTAAATTATACCCAGTTATAGACCCATTGTATACAAAACAATGTGTGGATTATTACATGTCAGGTTTTATGCTGTTAGGATTGTTTGAATTAACTAAAAACATTATTTCGTTTGTCACAATTAAAAAAAGAAAGTTCAGAATTAAAAAAAAATCTTAAATATCCTAGTTTGTTAGGACTTAGTTGATTTATTAGCAATCTATTTTATCTGATTTTTATAAACTAGTTTATTTTATTTCTGTTATGTTTATCTTTATTTTATGCCTCAGAGTTGTAAAGTAACTAAGTACAAATACTTTGTTACTTAAGTAGAAATTTTGGTTGTTTGTGTATATACTGAGTAATTATTTTTCAGCCTATTTTACTTCTGCTCCTTACATTTTATACATTTATCTGTACTTTTTACTCCTTATGCTTTAAAAAGGATAAGAAGTAGAAAGTTGTTACTCCTGTTTAATCCTGGCTCGTTAAAAAATACATTTTCTTGATAAATTGTGCCTCCAGGACAGAGTGAATGTGACTGGATGAGAAGTTTAGATATTTACCGTTCTGATACTGTATTACTTTGTACACAACCCATCACAGCTGCACGCCTTTAAAATGGTTTTGGGGGGTTACCTCCCAATAAATGTCATTTTTGAAAGTATAACATCTGACTTTGAGTACTTTTATTTAAGTATMATTTTGAGGAACTTGTTACAACACTGGTCTCATTTAGGTCTTATCTGATTTTAATGTGAAGCAGTTTAGGATTTTATTTTTATTTCAATCATTCGTTTGACAAAAAGCTCAAACAGGTTATTAACGTGTCAAAGAGCTGAAAACATGATTACAGAATAATTCTACGTTCAGGCTCACAGCCGGGGTGACACATCCTGCTGTAGCAGGAAAACAAATCAAAAAAGAAGCACATACTCTGATGAAATTACCTTTTGTTTTCTGTTTCTGTTTTATAAAAGTGTACACACAGTTTAGGTTTACATTCGGGCTCTGGATGAATTGATCCAGATCATAACCCCGCCTCTTCCTGTGTTTCCCCTCGCTGCCCTTCTCTCTCTCTCTTCCCCTCCAGTACAAGAAGCATCGTCTTTCCGTCGGACACACAAATAACAACGCTAAGACCGTGGTCAATATGGCTGACGTGGTAAGAACCGTATCGACCCTCTCCTTGGAAGCTGTCCACAGTCAGTCTCAGAGACACTGATGTGTCAATTAACCAAGCCCACTCTGTGCACCGAAGCCTTCCTCTGGCCTTAATGTGCTTCAGGCAGCCATTAACCAGGCTGACGATGACTTTTCAGTTTTCTGATGCAGCAGCAGCCTTCCTGCAGTACCGTGCAGAGAAGCTTTGAGTATTTACAGTCATGATTGCTGTGTTTCTGAAATCGGACCAGCTCTAACCCTGACGTCTGTAAGCTGAGAGCCTGATAGATCTGCACAGAGCAGAGCTGCTGCTTTTTGTCCTTGGCCTTGATCACATGAAGCAGACTGCATTCAGGAAAGACACAGCTGCACATTATCATGGGATAAGTATAAGTTTACAGACAGAATGGAAGGAAGGTAGGTTCCTCAGCAGCAGGAGGAAAGAACTAAGCTTTAAAGTGCCCGTGACGAGCATATCCTTCTAATACAGGACTGTTCAACTAAACTGCTCCGGGCCGGGGCCACGGTTACTGCAGGCCAACAGCTGAGGGGCCCAACATCCAGAAATTAAAGTTATTATATAAATAAACCAAAGATCTGTTACCTTTGAAATAGTTTATTTTGCTGCATTTAATCATGGATATAACATACAGAACTCTATGTAATAAATTAAACAACATCAAAAACTAAAATAACACATCATACCTCCTATTTAACACAAATATTATTTTAACATCTCTGACTTGCCAACTTTTTAAACCAATTTTATTTTTTACTTTCATAGTTTTATATTCACCTGCTTGTAGTTTTACCTGTCTTTAGTGTGCTTAGAAAAAGTTTTACCAGCTTGTAGCCAAGATTCTGATGTTTCTGTAGATACAAACATGTCTGTGTTGAACTAAAACAACTCAGTAATTAAAGAAGAAAACTGGTGCTCTGGGCTTAAGAGATGAATGAACCAATTGGCGGGCCGCATTTTKGTCACTCACGGGCCACATCTGGCCCGCGGGCCACCAGTTGGATAGCCCTGTTCTAATACAAATAGAAAACCTCTTTGCATTTAAGAAACTTGCCATAATATAAACAATTTTACACATTTTTTGTATAATTTTCATGTTTTCTTTTGAATTTTGCTCAGCCAACATGAAACAGGAAGTGACATCAAAGGAAGTGACATCTCTTTAAGAAAATGACTTCRTTTGTTTATTGAAACAATATTATTTGAACTCAGACTCTTCATCTCTCTCTGATAGTGACTCAAAATAAAAAAATCAGATTCTGCTCTACAGTCTGGTTGTTAGCAGTTGTACCATCGCTCTGTTTACAGTCAGACATTCCCCTGTGACATCACTTCCTGTTTCTTCACAGGCAAATATCTCAACAACTGTTCATCTCAGCRACGTGAAACTTCTTTTGCAAAATGTGATCAAAGTTATCTTTCAAAAAATGTATTCACATTTATAACAAAGATCAGATGTTAGGGGTTCTTTAAACACGTTTTTGTGATCTTCCACACTCCTGTTTGTCCTTCAGACACTTGTTGACTGACAGAACCAGAACCAGTTGACTCGTGTCACAATGAGCAGCTGGGGATGCTAATGAGATGCTAATGCTAATGAGAAAGAGACACACCTGACACTTTGTAAAACCCACTGCGCTGCATCATCATGAACTGTTTTTGTCACTTCCTGTCACACCGAGTCGTTGAAAACAGAAACTTAACRACTTGTCAGTGTTTGACTTTTGGTTGTTGTTGACTCCAGATATTCAGGGAGCAGCTCAACACTCGGATCGTGCTCGTTGCGATGGAAACCTGGTCAGTGGACAACAAGTTCAACATTGATGATGACCCCATGGTGACGCTCAAAGAGTTCATGAAGTACAGGAAGGACTTCATCAAGGAGAAATGTGACTCGGTTCACCTCTTCTCGTAAGTCTGGGCAGCTAAAACAAGATTTGTTTTTAGTTTTAGTTTTTGTGTGTATGTGTGCAGTGTCATTTTAAATCTTCTATTAAAACTTATTTTTTTATTTGCAGAGGGAATCGCTTTCATAGCAGCAGGGGTGGAGCCTCCTACATGGGAGGAGTTTGCTCTCTTACCAAAGGAGGAGGCGTCAATGAGGTGAGAGTTAAACCACAAGTGTGTGTAAAATTAAAATTTACTAAAACACATTTTCATTATTTTGTTTGTACTGAGGAGACATCGGGGATTTTTTTTCTTTTTGCGTTCCCTCGCAAAAGTMGTTWATCASTGTTGTGCTGCTGGTTTATTAACAAACTCACATGTTCACCATTAGTGAGTTAGCTACTGCTTTAATTCAGCTTCACAGTGAATATATCACACAGACACACAGGGAAGTGTGTCATATGATGATATTTTAACACAGTGCAGCCACGCAACATCATTGTCAATTTCACAAACCTGTGGCGACACATCCTGTTTTGGTAACTGGATACTTCAAAATAAAAGTCTGATTTAATTCAGTTCATATACAAAACAATTTTGCGAAGTAACGCAAAAGTATTGCGAGGGAACGCAAAAGGAAAAAAAAAMMCCCATATCCCCTCACAGGCTCCGTAATTTTGCTCACTTTCCCTCTCACTGATAAAAGTTAGTCAGCTGTAAGAACAGTCAGCTAAGTAACAAGAAAATGTTAAAGACCAAATTTTATAGGATTTTACTGTCAGAAAGTGAGGAAAATAATGAAAATGTGACATTATTTAACATTTTATTTTACACTTGGCGCTCCAAAGAAGTGGGCTGATTACAGTGTTGTTGCTTTTTGCAATTAAGCCTCAAAGTAGATCAAATATAAACTGAAGTGAACTGATGGTTTTCCCAAACAGAGCAGCACATCCAGACTTTAGCTTCTGACGGCTGACTGCAGTTTGCAAACGGCTGCTGAGCCGTTGCATGATAGGACACTTCAACTACCTGGATTAATCAGAAAGTCTGACTACGTTTCCAAAAAGACACCCTGAAAAACACTCTGAGATATAAAATAAAACAGGAAGAAGATGTGAGTCAGAGCAGAGCAGTCTGACGCTGCGTTGAGAGGAAAAGACCAAAAGCAGCTGAAATGAGACAAGAACAAAAACCTTTTTTTWATTTGATCTGATCAGACGTACACAGCATGTAGTCAGGTCTGCTGTTTGAAGATTCTTGTTTGTAATTATTTGGAGTGCTCATTAAACTTCACTAATTTCCTCTAATGTTTTCTTTCTCTGTTAAATGAGACATTTTTAGCTTCTTGTCAGTACTGTGTGTTTTCTGCTTTCCTTTCAATCCAAACGTCCTGAACCATTTCTGGACTTCAGAGGGTCTTTAAACGCTCACAAAGAGATCCTGTCTCGCAGAATTTCTTTGCTCCGTCTAAATTTAATATCACGTTTCTTTTCTTCATTCTGTGTGCACCAGTATGGAAAAACACATGAGATGGCGATAACCCTGGCTCAGTCTCTTGGTCAAAATATTGGTATTTTTTCTGACAAGAAGAGGATCCTCAACGGTATGTAGTTAGCCTGTTCTGAACACGTCATACTTTTTATTGAAATATTTGAATAATGTTTCATTTTGATGATTTTTTTCAGGTGAATGTAAGTGTGATGATCGGTGGAACGGTTGCATCATGGATGATGTTGGGTAAGTTAATATCAGCTTTATTACTCCTCTCTCTTCTAGAAAACTCTTATTTTTTACAGACACTGCAGTTTCACATCTGCTTTTGAGCTGATACTCTTAACTTTATTTAAGCTTCCTGTTGCTCTACATGTTTACTGTCTAGTAAAGATATCCTAAAATGTTTTCATAAATCTGTTGTGAACTGGAGTGTTGTTGTAGTTCTAAAATTCACCACTAGGTGCCAGTGCAGATACTTTTATAGGATCGGTTTGAATCATTTGATCTAATTTCTTACTGGCTAAAAGAAGAAACTGGTGCATCAATAAATCTAAGTTTTTCTGTGCTGTAACAGCTTGCTTAGCAGTGTGTGGATTTGTGTGTGATGGTGTGTGTTTGTGAGTGTACACCCCTCTTCTTAAACACTTCTTACGTTCCCCCCTTCCCATCCCGAATGGGACAGCAGGTGAGCTGAAGCTTGCTAAAACGTTGCTTGTGCTGGTTTCTTTGAACAAACCAGCCGCCTCGTAGTGGGTTGTCAGTCATCACAACCTTTTTCATTTCATTCAGCAAAAACCTTCGACCCCCCCCCCCCCCCGGCTCTGAAAAAAACTGAAACTGAAAAAGTGTTTATATTAGAATCTGAAGAATTTCAAACATCTTGTATTTTCAGTTCCAAATATTTTTTTTTCCAGTTTCAAACTTATTACTTGACAGTCATCTGAAGCCCCGCCCACCACGCTAAATCAGGGTCATATGTTTGAAACTGAAAAGACAAGATGTCTGAAACTTTTCCAGATCCTAATATATTATTTTTCAGTTTTTTTGTTTGTTTTTTCTGTTCCAAATCTCTTTTCTTTCCGTTTCAAAACYTTTTTATTTTGAACGAAACATATGACTAATTTGGCTCCATAAGGCCCCGGCTTTTCTGTTTTTAAACAGTATGAACAAATACAGCTCAGTTTTTTATATACTGGGTGTATTTTTCATAATCCTTTTGTATAATTTTATGTAGTTTAATTTATATTTTTGTGGCTTTTGGCCAGTGCCACTGGCTGATCAACAACAAAGAGTTATTATTTTTATTATCCCTGAAAAACACCCTCTCTGCTCTGTGTTCTGAAAGTTCAGACCTTTGTCCGTGTCTATCCGATTGATACAGTCTGCAATGTCATTTTCATTTTATATCAAGAATGATCTATTTAATTTCAGTGTAAAAACCCTGAAACATTCAAAGCTGCTTCACTCAGTCAGTGTTTCAGCTGCYGACAGAGGACAGCTGCTCCTGTCACCTGAACATGGACTGAGACACAATTTGTTTCTCCAAAATCAAGTCAATGGTATTTCAGACGTTGGTATTCAATGAGTGACCTTTTGATAATCTTCTGCATGCCTGACTTATATAACCTGACTACTAACAGTTTTCACATTGTTTTCACAGGGTGTAGCTGCTGTGCACCTCAGCAGGTGTCCAAGTTGTTGTTTTATAAACTGTTTGTGTCCTTGTGGCACTTCTTACACATGTGTACATTTTAAATACACTGAAGCTTTTAGGAACAAATACTTTATCAAAGGAAATGTTTTGGATAAAGATGTAGTTCATATGTTTTGCAGCAGGTTTATGTGGAAAAGTTCTAAACTGTTGATACCTGTAAATGATTCTGAGCAGGTGGATAAATTAATGTGTAGTCCAGGTGGGCTCAGTGTCAGAGAGGGTCTCTGTCTTAAAAAAAACTCCAGGCTCAAAGTTTTTGTTACATTTTTTCATTTTGGTTTCTTTATTTTATGCACCTTTACTTTGTCATCACGTTCACATTAATTAATATTAATCTAACAAGAGCAGATAGCAGCAACTTATAGGGTGCTACGTGTAAAATAAAAAGTAAAAAAAGTCATTAACACATTTCATTATTTAGCTCACTTTTAAGTGTAAAATCCAGTGTAAATATTTCCACTAACATTTTATTTTTGTTTAGCTCAGATTGCTCAGTTAGAAACCATCATCTTCAGCTAACCAGCATTATTATTATTA